TTGCCTCCGTTAGTGTTAGGTTCAAAGGATGTTCAATCGCAGCACAAGCAGAGAGATTTCGTGTCAAACCAAAGTAAGGTTCAAGTTTGTTAACGATTGTACTTGATAATGACGCGAAAGACGCCCTCGACTTGCTTCCAAGATCAATACCAGCGCCAATCGTAACGCCACTTTGCCCAAGGACCGCACCAGATTTTTGATCGATCGGGACGTATCCGCACGAAGTAAAACCTTCATGGCAGTTTAGAAACTTCTGGTAAATCATTGGCGCAGACTTTTCGCTGCCTTCAGGAATTCCCGACTTCCAAGAAGGCGGGCAGTCTAACTGTTCAAGATTACAAGTGATTGGAACTCGACGTTTACCAATGTAACTTGATGGTTTATAACCATTTTCGCAGTTGTGTGTTTGACCATAAACCGTGCCAAGCACAAATGCAAGAAGAATTAAGAATTTCGCAAGCATTTTAACTGAAGTCTGACCAAGTATAAGAAACATAAACACTCAAAAACAGAAGTGAAATAAAAAGCTTTGCAATAGCGTAGCAGTTTATACGATCAGTTGACTCGAATTGACCAATGGGAACAAGTGTAATTTGAGTACACATTGTGAGGAATTCCTAGTATTCAATATACGGAGAAAATGAAGCATGAAAATGAAAGGTTCTTTTGAACTTGATAATTGTTACAAAAAAACCAATTATTATAAAAAACATTCACTGCAGTTATAGTTATAGTATGCGATATATTTTTTATCGATCTCAAAAATCTACATGGTGCTTTCACTTGAAAATATGCCAAGTATGAAAAATAAAAAAAGCGAAAATAAAGGTGGTTTCTTTTCCAAGAAATTTACTTCAAAGAATAAGTACATTACTGAAATCCATTTTTTGACCTTTTACACTCGTTATCAAAATTACAGTATTTATGCATCTAGGGCCCGTCTATATGAGCCAGGCTGCATCGCTTTCCGGGCCAAGTTAGTATTTGTTTCAATATAAAGCTGGTTAGCCCGGCATGTGCTACAAAAACTCCTGCGCCGATTTTTGCGGGGAACGCAATATTTGTTTCTATTTATCACAATTAACATTTTTATCGACGGAAACTGCTTCAGAAGTCTTAATTTTGTTAATTCCTAATTAGGTGTTTTAAATTGTCAGATAATTTATAGATAGAATTACAAAGCATGCGTCGTGACACAATTTTCTGGTCCGCTAAGTGCGTTCACTATGGTACGGTTACACTCACCCGGCAAAACCGAGCTGGCCAGATACTCATGTGAATCAAATCTCGAAAACATATAAATATAATTGTCAATAATTGCGAGTCAGTCCGGTTTACCGCGCCAGCCCAACTCATATGAATTGGCCGCTAGCCCGAAAAGGTACATGCAGGTTTTATGTAGTCATTCAATTCGAAATTCGGAATACTTAGTTTGACATGTAGGTCTGTACAAAGTTTGGAATAATTTTCAAAATATTTTAGTGCTAAATATTGTATTGCAAAATTAAGCAATGCAAATAAATATATCCTGACCGCCAATAGCGGTCACTTTATATTATGTCGATGGGGAAGGGGTTCGAACGCGGGTTCGAATTATGTTGCCAACATGTTGGTAGAAATCTTAGTTCTTTAATATAATTTGCGATTGCATCTCTAAATCCATAGTATATCTATACTATTTCCATACTATCCATAATCCATTGTATGAAAATTGCAATTCGTATGTGAAAATTGAATTTCCATACTATTTTCAACTAAGATCCATACTCTTGCCATATACCGCCATAGTGAGGATTTTGAAAAAAAATCCAGTGATTAGTGAGATTTAAGAGATGAATTTTAACAACAAGATTAATACTGACTGGTCCAGAAGAATCATGCAATGTTACGGCTGTTCCAAAATAAAGTCTGGTTCGCCCAATGGCAATGGACCATTGAAATCATGCATCAATTGTTATCAATAGGCTTGATTACCCCTTACTTTAAACAACCATAAGTTAACATAGGTTCTACTATAGGACCGAAATTAAAAATTTTATAGTGTCAAAATTCATCTCTTAGCCTAAATTTTCGATGCCCACTTGCTAGCTGTGTAAATCAGGGCCTTTTTTAACATATAAGCTGGGGGGGCATTTGCCCCCCCCCAGTCCCCCCTTGTGCCCCCCCACAAAATCACATTTTGCCCCCCCAGGAAAAGTCCCTTTTTCCTAAATTTAGACCAACAAAACAGCGAAGAATAACAAATAAATAAACGAAAAGTAAGTTTTAGGCTTTATCCTTTGTCCTTGTTTAACAAAATCGATCTAAATTGTTACGTTTTTCTACCACTAAGTAATGATAAATTATTGTTAATAATTTTTTATTTTTTGGTTGCTCAGAATGCAGGAAAGAGCATTTCCAGGTTTCAAATTTGAAAAATTTTCTGGAGATTATGCCCCCACACACGTGGCCTTCGGCCATTGGTATCCCCCTCTAATAAGTATAATGATAAATTACGGTTAATATTCTTTTTTACTTTTTGCACATTTTTTCCTTCTTTTATTTCAAATACAAGTATAGTTAGCATAAATTTTAGAGCAAATTTGGATGCTCAGAATGCAGGAAATGGCATTTCCGTGTTTCAAATTTCAAAAATTTTCTGGGGAGTGCATCCCCACACACGTGACCATTGGGATCCTCTTCTAATAAGTAATGATAAATTATGGTTAATATTTTTTTTACTTTTTGTGGGTGTTTTCCTTCTTTTATTTCAAATACAAGTATAGTTAGTATACATTTTGGAGCGCATTTGGATGCTCAGAATGCAGGAAATGGCATTTCTGTGCTTCAAATTTCAAAAATTTCCTGGGGAGTACACCCCCGCCCCCTCATTCATGCGTGCATGGTATGTTCGGCGCACACGTGGCCTTCAGCCATTGCTTTCTCCCTGTAATATATTATCTCACAGAAAGGTCCCTTTTCAAAAAATGCCCCCCAACGGGAAAATCCTTAAAAAAGGCCCTGGTGTAAATTGTAAAATTTAGAACATGCATGCATATATAGCTATTGCATTGTTTCGGAACACCCTGCATAGAATTTTGAAAATTCATTATTTGAATTTCTCAGAACAGCTATAGTGTTCGTAAAGACCGAGAACAGTTGTTTTCGCCTTTATTAAAAGTAAGGAGTTGATTACAAATTACAATAACAAAATATGCATATATACGCTTCATCGGGTATAGAAAAGGAATTATATATAGTGCATAAAATCTACGACTAAATATATACTAAAGTTGGTCATAATATATATATATATATATATATATATATATATATATATATATATATATATATATATATATATATATATATATATATATATATATATATATATATATATAGCCTACCTAATTGTTTGTCAATATAGCTATATTAAAACAACGTATTACAACGCTCATTAAAAAAAAGCTACTAAAAGACGTTTCCATCGAATATCTTCAATCTTCGTCGGTTAAACACTAAATCGTAATTGTCGTACTACGAAAAATAACTATACGTGCGTAATTGTTGCAACGCCGATAAGCTTAAGGACATGATGCTCAAAATTAGCATAAGATACGTGTAATGCTCATTAATTATGTTTAAAGAAAATAAAGCCTAAGAAAATAAGCGTGGTTGCCACTATCAAAGTTTCTTTGATCACAGTAGGAATTTTGCATCGGTAAGTTTTAATTAAAAGGATTTGTAAGAAATGTTAGAGGGAATTGACTAATTTTTTAACACTAAATTAGTTTACCTATATACGTGCCAAATTCCTACTCTCTGTGATATTACAGAAACTTTGATAGTGTAAGCCAGTCTTAAGAAACATATTGGTCCTACAATGTTAAATGTCATATATTTCAAAAAGCATCATCAACATTGCAAAACCTACCACCACAAACTTTGTAGCGAAAACAACGCGAGCTGAAGATTTCGGAGTGGTACTTGGATGTATTTCATTTGTTCCCTCCGTGCAGTTCAAAGGGTTGCATTCGTTGCCTTCCATCTGAAACAAAGCGGCGTCGGTGTCCGAAGTTACTGAAACAAAAATTTGTTTCAGCTCGCCGGCGTTTAGCCCTATTAATCCCGTATCTTCCGTGCGAGGTGAGATGACCATGAGTTTGTCCTTTTGGGATGAGCGGTCGAAAGAAATGTCGTTGTCGTACTTGTAAGGGTGAGGATTAGTGCGAGAGCCGAAAATAGACGTGCTACCACTTAAATCGACTACATTGAGCTCGAGGTTTGAAGATTTCGGCACTTTATAACTGAAATATAGATACGTATCCTTTGCGACATCGGTTATGATTGTCTGGTTAAGAGATGTAGGACGAGGTTCATAGCACGTTGACGACGTTAGCGTTGAAATAAATATCTCAAGTTGGGAAAAAGTGGATAACCTGTAAACATGTGAGTCAGAAGAAGCAATCTCTTGAAGTTGTCTAAGATTGTAATTGCCGATTCCAATCCCATAAACAACGACGTTTTCATCTCTCACATTCCTTGCTGGAATTGAAACACTGTCGCCTGATTGACCGTCTGTTAGAACAATCAAAACGCGAGGTACGCCATCTACTTCAGGACGCAGGCCTCGTTCTTCGGTGAATTGATAGGTTAAGATGTGTTGTAGAGCTCGACCAAGTTGGGTACCTCCACTGGAGTAGGAAACTCGATTAACTGCGGAAAGGTAGGCTGACTGATTTGTGTAGCTTGATAAATAGAAATGTGATCTGTAGCTGGAACTGAATGTGGACAAACCGAATCTGGTGCCATCTTTCCCGCTGAGTTTATCATCTGGAAACGCTTTTATCATGTTCTTCACAAAATCGAGGCTTTCTTGAAAGTTCGCGAGGGAAACACTGCCAGATTCGTCTATCAAGAAAACAACGTCGACAGAGCGGTTGCATTTCAAAAGAGTTGCTTCAATTATGTCCGCTTCGTCGTTTCGCCTGATCAAATCCCCTCTAGCCTGCTCGTTCGGTTTCTCGTAAAAGTTTCTCAGTTCGTTCATCGCATTGTCCCAATCGTTTTTCGTCACAAAGCTCCAAAACCTTGGATAAGCCGAAGGATAACCCAACTGATACCAAACGCTGACGATGGCTGTACGAATACCGCGAGGAACTGATGCAAACGCCAGCGCATTCGCATCTTTATTGCTGTCGTATCTTTTTGAAACTTCAGTAACCACATCGTTTGTAACAGCATTTGTCAAAGTGTTTGCTTCCCAATACGCTAGTATCAATCGACGTTCAATTGCAGCACAAGCAGCGAGATTTCGTTTCAAACCAAAGTAAGGTTCAAGTTTGTTAACGATTGTACTAAATAATGATGACGTGAAAGACGCCCTCGACTTGCTTCCAAGATCAATACCAGCGCCAACCGTAACGCCTCTTTCCCCAAGGACTGCCCCAGATTTTGGATCGATCGGGACGTATCCGCACGAAGTAAAACCTTCATGACAATTCAGAAACTTCTGGTAAATCATTGGCGCAGATGTTTCGCTGCCTTCAGGAATTCCCGACTTCCAAGAAGACGGGCAGTCTAACTGTTCAGGATTACAAGTGATTGGAACTCGACGTTTACCAATGTAACTTGATGGTTTATAACCATTTTCGCAGTTGTGTGTTTGACCATAAACCGTGCCAAGCACAAATGCAAGGAGAATTAAAAACCTCACAAGCATTTTAACTAAAATCGTACAGCGACTAAGGTGCGTAAACAGCAAACACTTGTGTAACTTTTTGTGTGAAATAAAAGGCTTTGCAAATAGCACAGTTTATAATACGACCAATCGACTCAAATAAATTGGACTCTGACCAATGAGAAGAAGTGCGAATTGAATAGACATTGTGAGCAATTCCTGGTACTCAGAAAGAGAAAGAGAAAGTAAACATAAACAACGATTATCTTTAAATGTATACTCTATGTTTACCCTATAGCTATAGCAGATCATGAAGTTATTGAACTTTATTCTTATGACGTAACATTCAATGGATTTTAACGTTATAGTAAACGATATACAGGTATTATGAATCTCAGAAGTGTACGAAATTTCAAAACATGTTTTCTAATTGTCTCCTGCAGAGCTTGAAGTTTGTGATGCATATCGTAGCCTACAAAGAGTATACAAGCTGCTTTGGTGAAACCATGCATGTAGACTTGAAAGCATGCCGAATTATGAAATTAAAAAGGCAAAAAGTCGGGAAGCGCCATTCAATCTGTAATATAGGCGACACATATGCAACTGTATAAGAAAAATTGGTTAAAATTGGTTAATTTTCTTCTTCCAAGAAATTTCGAATTCGTAATTTCATTTATAAAATACATTGCTGAATTCAACTTGTTGAACGTTTATACACCGTTTTTAAAACTATTTATGCAACTATAGTCCAAATGACTTGGGGCCTGATTGTATTCCGATATTTTCAGCGGGGAAGATTTTCGGCGAAGAGCTTTAGTAGATGGCGGAAGACTTCAGACATTATCCGAATGGGGGATATATGAGAGGGTCCAACATGACCTATTTGGAACTATTTCTTTTATATATATAAAGCTATTTCAATTAAGGTTGTCCCCGAGCAAAGCGGAAGAGTCGAATACGAGCGCGAAAGGCTTGCTCGGAATCGCTAAAAAATTCATTAATTTGTTAGCGATTCCCAGCAAGTCTTTCGCGCTCGTGTTCGACTTTTCTGCTTCGCTCGGGGACAACCTTAATTGAAATAGCTGTATATGCAGTACATTATTTTTCACCCTGCTCGGTTTCCTTTGTTCTTATAAGTTATATAGGGGAATATATTCAATATTCTCCTGTAATCAATTTCGTTTAATAATCCCTTCTAATAATATTCACCTGCATTGATGTCTTTGCAGCGCAAAAAAATGAGAAAAAACAATATCACGAAGGCCATATGGCATTAAGAATTATTTCTGGCTATTCTGACTCATTAACGTGACCTCGCAATGTGAAAAATAAGGGACCGGTCTCTATTTATGGAAGGGGGGAGGGAAAAAATAAGGGGGAGGGCATATGTAGAAATAAATGACTAGAAGGGGGGCTATTAAATTTTTTCAAGAAAATGACAGGGGGGGTTGCAATTAAATTTGAAGGAATTTGCTTAATAACCTGGTATCCATTTGGTTGTAAATGTTGCAACTAAATCATGGTCACTGATGTGAAATAGTCTGGATTTATCTTGTCTTGTGTGTGCTGTATGCAAATCAGATTTACGGTTTGCAGACTAGTTAAATTGACAATGTATTATTACATCAGCTCTTGATGTGGTTAAATACATTTAAATAGGGACCTTTAGCTAGCAGGACGGCGACGGCTATTAAAACAATGAAATTTGTGACAGTGTAGAAAGAAAATGCATAATTAAAGGTCCCTTGGGAGTTTTAGACGTCGTCCTTGCTCTGTTTACAACAGCAAACCAAAGATTTTCACGTTTTGTATAAAACGTCTGCCTTTCAAGCCGCGAGAAGTCGTCCTCGCCAAATTGGCTTAGTAGAAGTCTTCTCAACTATAAACCTCTGTCTTAACCTTCTTAAATTGCAATAAATTCATACAACGGATAATACAAGACATATTGATCTTAAAGTTAGTTATTCGAACGAGTTTATTTTGGCCGTCGTCGCGTTGCCGTCACCTATTTGCTATTTGCTAAAGGTCCCTAATTAAGCAAGGTTAACGGCGGATGTATTATGCAGGCCACATCCGCTGAGGGGAGTCTGTGACGTCATATCGATCAAAGGGGGTTGTTTCATGACTTGTGATCAGTGCTTCGGTCTGGGTATTCATTCTGCCATGTATGCTTTGCCTAGCTGCAGCAAGTTTTGCGCTTCGATACCTTTTCCCCATCCACCCACCCATGTTCATTCTAAAAGATTTTATCTGGTAGCTAGCTAGTATATGTCATTTTATTTTATATAATTTTTAATCTCACATAAAATAGGATGTATAGACCACTATACATTGTATTTCGCAGGTATGCCTTGGCACAATTGTCGTTGCTATCTCCTTTTGCTGCTAATATTACTGATTGCTGCTCTCATTGTTGCTGCGCAGCTGCTATGGCAATACTTCGTACTATCAAGTCTAGTTGCAGCCTTAAACATGGTTACAATCGCCCAGACCAAATGGAAGACGACGTTAATATCTTGCCAGTTCCATATTCTTATTTAATAATTAACACTATAACGCCTGGGTGCCCCCATTTGACAAGTAAAAATGAAAATGGGGGGGGGGTCAAAGAAAAATATTCTAATATGCAGGAGGGGTCATCATTAAATTTCTGCTCTTTAGGGGGGGCTTTCAATTTTAAAAATTTAGAAAAGAAAAAATTCCCCTCCCCCTTCCATAAATAATGACCGGTCCCCAAGTACTTTATTTTGAGGCACCTCGGGGATATGTGTTTATTCACCTCGGCGCTGCGCGCCTAGCAACAACTACAACAGCAACAACAAGGCTAGGGAATCAGCAGTAACAACAACATCAGAACTTCAAAAATTATATGTTATCTGCGAAATATATATTAAGTACTATTTAAAGCACGCGTAGGAGTGTTTTGTCAGATGATAAAACACGACTACAAGTGCTTTAAATGGCTTAAAAAACGACTCATCTTATATGAGTTTGTTGGCGAAGTAATTTTTAAAATAAACTTTGTTTAAACCGAGAAAATCAAAGCTAAAGTTTATGTAAATTAACATAATAATATCACATATAAAGATACGACACGCTTATGATTTTTCTTTGTGTTTCCCTCCTGAATTATTAATGAGTTTTTTAAATAAAATTATGCTTTATGATAAATAAGTGCCCACATTTGATATCCATACTATTTCCATACTTAGTCATAATTGATGAAAATTGCGTTAATTGCCATATTATTTCCAAGTAAGATCCGGCATAACTATTTCCATAGAAAGGATTTTGAAAAAAAATTCCAGTGATTGGTGAGCATCAAAACTTCAATCTAAGACCTTCAATCTAACGCCCGTATTCTAAAAGCTCGCTCACACTCAATGAGTGGGAGGTTCAATCTGAGCTTTTCTTGAGTGTCAATGACAATGCTGTTTTTGAATAGCTGGAGGGTGAATAGTCACATAGTAAGGTACGACACTAACCCTCAGCTATTCAAAAACAGCATTGACACTCAAGATTGAACCTCCACTCATTGAATGTGAGTGAGCTTTTAGAATACGGGCGTAAGAGGTAAATTTTAACAACAAGATTAATAGAGGGGGGGAGGGGGGGAGGGGGGGGTCTCGTCACGAAATCACGAAGATCATTTTTCGATTTCACGAGTGACGAAAAACAAAATTTCATTTTCACGATTTTTAGAAACACAGAAGCGTAACAAAGTCTGAAACCACTAATGATTTTCTAGACAGCAGAACTCGATGTTAACACAAACACATTTTACTGAGTTTAACATTAGAGCCGTTTAAACGACTATGAAAATCATTGCGAGGCATTACAAAACATCACGAGACACCAAGCAACAGCTGAAGAAACGAAGAAACTTCAAGAAAGACAACCGCGGGAAGCAAATTTATTTATTTTTTCTTCATAGTATTAAATTTGGGCCGAGTAAACATTAACCGAGAGTAAACATTCACAAGTTAGGGTAAAATATTGGTAAATTCAACACCCTAGCTAGCCTTTTAGCTCTTCACGATTCACGGCGCGCATATTAATCACGATTCACGGAATGGTATTTCTTTAAATCACGAATAACGAAACACGAATAATTGCTAATCACCAGACACGAAAAAATACCCTTGCCCATCCTCTTAATAAAACTGATCCATGCAATGTTATGGCTGTTCCAAAATAAAGTCCGGTTCACCCAATGGCAATGGACCATTGAAATCATGCATCAATTGTTATCTATAGGTTTGATTACCCCCTACTTTAAACAACCATAAGTTAACATAGGTTCTATACTCGGACTTAATATTTAGACGTTTTAGCGATATTTAAAATTTGCATGGTAGTAACATATAGTATTACGTAGTTCTAAAAATTTTTCATGTAGATTGTAGTATATGTTATTAAGAGTCCTTTTACTATGTTCTGAAATATTGCATGCAATTAATTCTGTATATTTCAGCTTTTAGCTGCTATTCAGATTAACATTTCATTAAATACAAATACATTAAATACAAATTCATCTCTTAGCCTAAATTCTCGATGCCCACTAAGCTTGCTGTGTAAAATTTAGAACATGCATATATAGCTATTGCATTGTTTTCGGGACACCCTGCATAGAATTTTGAAAATTCATTATTTGACTTCCTCAGAACAGCTATAGTGTTCGTAAAGACCACTGAAGAACAGTTCAATTTGTTTTCCCGTTTATTAAAAGTAAGGAGTTGATTACAAATTGCAATAATAAAATATGCATATACAGGGTGTATCAAAAAAACCGCAACCTCGGAATTTCCCAAGAAATCGACATTGTTTTAAAGACAAAAGATTTTAGGCGCCTGGGAATTTAAAATAGCACAACTGTCAAAATTACTGCACACGCGAGTGCATAAAGCAAAATTTATGCATTTATTTAGTGCACAACAACAGTAATATGATCTATTAGCAATTCGATTTCAATTCCCAGGGGTCTAAAATCTTTTATGCTTAAGAATTGCAAAGTGATTTCTTAGGAAATTCCGAGGTTGCGTTTTTTTTTATACACCCTGTATATACGCTGCATACAGTATAGGGTATAAAAAAGGAATTTTAGTGCATAATATTTACGACCCATGCTAAAGTTGCAGCTGAGGTATCATAATAAAAGGATATATACCTAATTGTTTGTCACTGTCTATATTAAAACAGCATATTACAACGTTCATTGAAAAAAGCTACTAAAAGACGTTTCGATCCAATATATATATTCAATCTTCGTCGGTTAAACACTAAATCGTAATTGTCGTGCTACGAAATATAACTACGTGCATCGTAATTGTTGTCATGATAAACCATAGTCTTTCGAGACATGGTCTGGAAAGTCAGTAAACTTCAAAGCGGTTATAATGAGCTGTGTGTTTATGTTGAGACGTACCTTACACCGTGCACATCCTTTGTTTTAGGTTTATTAATATTTAAATAGGATGGTTGAATGACTGACTGAAACGTTGCTATTGGATGATTCGCCATTATACTGAAATACAATGTGTTCATTGACCGTGCACCGTGCACAAAACTGCATA